GCCCTATTCCCCCAAAACCCACCTCTCCTGTAGCCCAAAACCCGAACCCCCCATCTCACAGCCCACAACCTGACCCCAAGCCCACTACCCCCAAGCCCACATCCAACACTCCGGCCCAAACCTCACATCCCCTTCCCACCCAAACTTCGGCCCAACCACCCATCTCTCAACCGATCCAACCCAAGCCCACAACCCTTAACCCGCAGTCTCCACCTTTTATCCCGAATCCAATCCCATCTCCCAAACCCAAAACCCCTCACGCTTCCCCTTCACAACCCATTTCTGATTGGCAGGTAAAATCCGGCAAAGGTTCTAGACCTCCCACTTCGGAGGAATTGAAGTTTCTCGAGACATCTGACGAGCCTGATGCGCCTGCTGAAGATCTTGAGTTCGATGCCTCCGCCCTCCCCTTTGCTTCTACTGATATTGATTTAGGGAGGAAGAGGGAGAAAACCCCATTTACACCTGCGGCCCGTACTCCCATGATCTGCACTTTGAACCGCTTGGCCAACACCATCCCTTCGAATAGGGACTTTTATGCCCGTCCTTCGTACTGTCAGGATCCTGGTCCTTCGTACGAGGATCCGCATGACGTCCGCTATCATTGTGATGGTCGTAGGTACGGTGAGGATTCCTACCCCCCCCTTCAGATGAGGATGAGGATGACTTGATCTGGGAGGAGGAGCAGGAAGACATACGTTATGATTTTGGGCCCAAATCCAATGTTGGATATTATGGGCCCAATCTTCAGCCTTTTCAGCGGGACCTAGAGGCGGCTGGGTTGTCCCCGCCGCGGAACTACAGAAAGACACGCTCGAGATACCGTAATTATGAGGAGCGGTTCTTGGGCTGATCTACTCTCCTGCGTCTGGATTGGGTAGTCGGCACTGCTTTCGCGTTGGATCTTTTCTGCTGCCTAGTCCTTTGGCTTTGACAGTCGGCTCTACTTCATTGTCATATTTTTTCTGCTGTCTTAGTCTGTATTTATTTATTTTTACTGCTTTTCTTTTTCCGGTGAGTTGGAGACTTGTTCCTTCCACCAAAACTCTTTATTTATGCGAATAAAACTGATTTATTTTTTAAAAAAAACCCCTAAACCCTAAACCCTAAACCCTATTTTCCGCCTCTGTCTCTCTCTCTCTAAACTCTCACTCTCTCTGTATCCTGGTTCGTTATTCCTTGTCCTCGATCCGTTCCAATGGAGTCCAATCAGTAGACTTTCTTCAATTGTCCGAAAATCTCAGCTCAAGATTCCAGGCTCTAGATATAATCTCCCCGTATCTATCTCAGATGGCGACTAGCAACCCGTTTGATCTTCTGGGCCACAATGACAACGATGACCCAAATCAGCTCGTCGCCAAGCTTCCTGTTCCTCCTCCTGCTCAGGTTCCAAAGAAGGCTACTGTTCAGGGGGCCGCCGCAGCCAGAATGCCCTCGAAGCCTTTACCTCCGACCGAGGCCGTAAGGGAGAGTAGAACTGAATATTCACGAGGAGGAGCACGTGGTGACCCACGTGGTGGTGGCCGTGGACGTGGTAGGGGCCGTGGCCGAGAGTTCAATCAGGACTTTGTGGACACAAAGAACTCTTTTACTGCAAACAATGGCTTTTCAGGAGGGTATAGGCCATTTGAAGAGAGAGAAGGTGGAAAACCTTATGAAAAAAGAGGAGAATATGGTGGACCTCGTGGAGGCTTCCGTGGTGGTCGCCGTGGAGGGTTTGGCACAGGCGGTGAAGATGCTGCTGATGGCGAACGCCCAAGGAGGATATATGAACGCCGAAGCGGAACTGGCCGTGGGAATGAATTCAAACGTGAGGGTGCTGGACGCGCCAACTGGGGGACTCCCACTGATGAGATTGCTCCAGATACTGAGGAGCCATTTAATGAAGTTGAGAAGCCTGCTGATGCCGAGAAACAGCCTAATCCGGAAGATGCTGGAGATGCCAACAAGGATATTCCATCAAATGAGGCAGAGGAAAAGGAACTTGAGGAAAAGGAGATGACCCTTGATGAATATGAAAAGTTACTGGAAGAGAAAAGGAAGGCTTTGCTTGCACTGAAGCCTGAGGAGAGAAAAGTGACTTTGGACAAGGAATTTGAATCTATGCAGCTCCTTTCAAGCAAGAAGAATGATGATGATGCTGTTTTCATTAAATTGGCTTCTGATAAAGAAAAGAAAAAAGATGTTGGAGACAAGGTTAAAAAGACTAAAAACATTACTGAGTTTCTGAAACCTGCGGAAGGAGAACGCTACTAACCATCTGGTGGGCGCGGAAGGGGGGGACCCGGACGTGGGCGTGGGCGTGGTGGCCGATATGGTGGAAATCAGTCCAATGCTGATTTCCCACCATCCACCGGCGGCAAGTCCTATGCCAGTGCCCCATCCATTGAAGATGTGGGGCAGTTCCCCAGCCTGGGTTCCAAGTGAGTATTGAAGGAGGACCTCTTGAGTGTGGGTACCCTCTAGCACTTTTTTTATGTACTACAATTGTTTGTTGGACTTGTTTGTTTTGTTTTTAGTGTACAATTTAGATACCCTCTTGAGAAACTGATATTTGTTCTCAGTTTTCTTCAGCTTTCTTGCTCTCTCAGAGTCTCAGTCTATGCTTTTAGATTTTAGGTACTCTTTTTACAACTTTTTTTTTTACTTCTTAGGAACATCTCTATTCTCGTACTTGTTTTTTCCCCAGGTTATGTATTTCTTTTTTCTTAAAAAAAAACCCTAAACCCTAAACCCTAAACCCAACACCCCTGCCCAAAACCCTAAACCCAATTTGACATCTCTCTCTAGGCCAACACGCCCTTTTGGGCGATTTCAATTTTCCGGCCGCCATGGCTGGCGGACAGTCGCCGGTCACCCACCAAACTCCTCCTTGCATCCCGCCGGTCCTATTGCACCCAAACACCACCGGAAAAGCCGCCGGGAAACTCCAGATCGCTACAGCCGCCGCCCAGGTCCCTTCCCATCTTGCTCCGGCTACCACACGCAGCGGTGACGCTCCAAACTGCTCCCAAACGACTCCTGTCATCCATACGACTCCATCGCGACCAGTCTCACCTGACTTGGTTGCCGGAAACGCTAGATCGCCGCCGCGACCTGGGACGGCGGTTTCCGGCGGGTTTTCGTCAATTCCGGCCACCTCCGGCACCTCTGACGTCGCGAAACCCCACCAGGAATCTTCTAAGGTCCATACGAACACAAAGGAACCATCAATTGCACCAATTGAAGCCGATTTGAAAAAACCCCCAAATTTGGATCCTAGGGTTTTTCCGAGCTTAAAAACCTCAATTCGTGATGTTCAAGGGCAAATTGGGAAAAAACGACTGGATATTCGTGATCCTCATGCAAAACCGGTTCGTTTGGCGTTGGTCCCGCCCGATTCTGTTCCGGTCAATTTCCCGGCGACGGCCGCCGGAGCTCCGCCGGCGACGGCGGCGCCGGCAACCGTCAAAATTCTAGAAGCTCCAGTTCCTCTTCCTGAGTCCAAAAATCATACTCCCAGCCTTTCTCAAGTTGTTTCGGCTTCAAATCGTATCAAAGTTCCTACGTCCGTTACAGAGCCGCTTCCCGATCGCGAGGTTACCGTCCATCGGGGCATGCCCGCTGTTCGATTCATGCAATCAGAGGTCAGCCAACTAGCTATCATTGACATATATATTTTGGTTGGCAAATTCTCTCACGGGCAACCCAAACTGGAGGTAATTAAGCACTATTTTTCTACTCATTACGTCTTTCGTGGAACTGTTTCTGTTGGATGGCGGGATTCGAAGCATGTTTTTATTATGTTCTGCAACTCCCACGATTGCACAAATATGTTACTTGAAGGCAAAATTATTTTCAATGGGTTACATCCTATGCGTTTATTCCGATGGACACCTGATTTTGATCCGGAGTTTGAGACCTCACTGTCACCTGTTTGGATTTCTTTTTATGGTCTCCCTCTGCATATGTTCAATTTTCATGCGTTGTCCTTGATCTGTAAACCCATTGGAAAGTTGCTGGGTGTGGATAGCGTCACCTTGGCCAAGGCAAAGCCACATGTGGCTCGGGTCTGTGTAGAAATGGACTAAGGAAATTTTTGTGGGCACTTCGGAAGTTGTGGGTGAAGAGGATTGTGGTTTTGTTCAGCCGGTAGCGTACGAGAAAGTTCCATATTATTGTGATTACTGCTGGCGGCAAGGCCATTCTCTGGATAGATGCAAGCTAAAGGATTCCGAACCCCAAAACCCGACGCCCAACCCGCAGCCCAAACCGAAGCCTTACCCGAACCCACTTCAACCCTTCAAGCCCAATAATCCAAATCCCAAACCCCATTTACCTAAGCCCAACCTTCCTATGCCTAAAGATTCCTTACCCATTCCCAAGGCCCAAACTTTTGTTCCTAAAGCCCAAAAACCCATAATCCAAGCCCCTCCCCAAACCCC